TGGGAGTCTAAGTCTCTTTGTGGGTCATTAAGAACTTGCTCTGTGTATCTGGGTGCTCCCGTATTGGGTGCGTATATATTTACGTTAGGTAGTTCTTCTTGTTGCATTGATACTTACCATTGTATAATGCCCTTCTTTGTCTCTTTTGATCTTTGTTGGTTTAAAGTCTATTTTATCAGAGATTAGAATTGCAACTCCTGGTTTTTTTTTTCTCTCCATTTGCTTGGTAAATCTTCCTCCATCCCTTTATTTTGAGCCTATGTATGTCCTTGCATGTGAGATATGTTTCCTGGATACAGCACACTGATGGGTTTTGACTTTTTATCCAATTTGCCAGTCTGTGTCTTTTGATTGGGGCATTTAGCCCATTTACATTTAAAGTTAATATTGTTATATTTGAATTTGATCCTGCCATTTTGATGCTAGCTGGTTGTTTTCCCATTAGTTGATGCAGTTTCTTCATTGTGTCGATGCTCTTTACCATTTGGTATGTTTTTGGAGTGGCTGGTATTGGTTGTTCCCTTCTATGTTTAGTGCTTTTTTCAGGAGCTCCTGTAAGGTAGGCCTGGTGGTGATGAAATCTCTCAGCAATTGCTTGTTCAAAAAGAATTTTATTTCTCCTTCACTTATGAAGCTTAATTTGGCTGTATATGAAATTCTAGGTTGAAAGTTATTTTCTTTAAGGATGTTGAATGTTGGCCCCCACTCTTCTTCTGGCTTGTAGGGTTTCTGCCAAGAGATCTGCTGTGAGTCTGATGGGCTTCCCTTTGTGGGTAACCTGAACTTTTTCTCTGGCTGCCCTTAGCATTTTTTCCTTCATTTCAACCCTGGTGAATCTGATGATTATGTGCTTTGGGATTGCTCTTCTTAAGGAATATCTTTGTGGTGTTCTCTGTATTTCGTGGACTTGAATATTGGCCTGCCTTGCTAGATTGTGGAAGTTCTCCTGCATAATATCCTGAAGAGTGTTTTCCAACTTGGATTCATTCTCTCTCTCACATTCAGGTACACCTATCAAATGTAGATTAGGTCTTTTCACATAATCCTATATTTCTTGGAGGATTTGTTCATTTCTTTTTACTCTTTTTTTCTCTAATCTTACTCTCATTTTATTTCATTGAGTTGATTTTCAATCTCTGATGTCCTTTCTTCTGTTTGGTCAATTCAGTTATTGAAACTTTTGTATGCTTCTTCAAGTTCTTGTGTTATGTTTTTCAGCACCATTAAGTCATTTATATTCTTCTCTAAGCTGTTTATTCTTGTTAGCATTTCGTCAAACCTTTTTTCAATGTTCTTAGTTTCTTTGTATTGGGTTAGAACATGTTCTTTTAGCTCAGAAAAGTTTCTTATTACTTACCTTCTGAAACCTGTTTCTGTTAATTCATCAGACTCATTCTCCATCCAGCTTTGTTCCCTTGCTGGTGAGCATTGTGATCCCTTGGAGGAGGAGAGGCATTCTGGTTTTGGGTGTTTTCATACTTTTTGTGCTGGTTTCTTCCCATCTTTGTGGATTTATCTACGGTGATCTTTGTAGTTGGTCTCTTGGATGGGGTCTCTGAGTGGACATCCATTTTGTTGATGTTGAAGTTGTTTCTTTCTGTTTTTTAGTTTTTCTTCTAACAGTCAGGCTCCTCTGCTGTAGGACTGTGGGAGGTTCACTCCAGACCCTGCTTGCCTGGGGATCACCTGCAGTGCCTGCAGAACAGTGAGGGTTTCTGCCAATTTCTTCTTCTGTTATCTTTGTCCCAGAAGGATACCCACCAGATGTCAGCCTGAGCTCTCCTTTATGAGATGTCTCTTTGGATATATGGGAGTCAGGGAGCTGCTTGAGGAGACCGTCTGTCCCTTCTGGGAGCTCAAGTGTTGAGCTGTGAGCCTCGTTGTTCTTTTCAGAGCTGCTGGGCAGGTACATTTAAGTCTGCTGCAGTGGAACTCATAACTGCCTTTTTTCCCAGATGCTCTGTCCTGGGAAGATGGGGCTTTATTTATACGTTCCTGATGTGCTGCGGCCTTTTTTCAGAGATGCCCTGCTCAGCAAGGAGATAGCCTAGTCACAGTCTGCTAGCAGAGGCGTTGCTGAGCTGCTGTGGGCTCTGCCCAGCTGCTGTGTGAAATTCCTTGTGGTTTTGTTTATAGAGGTATAGTTAGCACTGCCTTGATAATGGCAGTCTGCCTCAGTAATGGCGGACTGCCTCAGTAACAGTGGACTGCCTCAGTAATGGCAGACTGCCTCATTAATGGCGGACACTCTTCCCCTGAAAAAGCTGGACTGTTCTGGGTCCAGCTGCGCTTGTTGCAAAACTCTCAGTGCTGAGCGTTTCAGATTGCTGGTCTTTGTGGCGGTGGGACCTGCCAAGCCAGATCACCTGGCTCCCTGCTCCAGCCCCCTTTCTTTCAGTTGAATGGGCGGCTCTGTCTCCCAGGTGTTCCAGGCACCAGTTGATATGGCTACCCAGATTTGTGTGAGTTTTTATGCAGTTTTGTGTGAGTTTCTGTGCCAGCTGAAAACAGTCATGCTAGAAATTCATGGTGCTTTTCAGCCTGGGAATCTCCTGGGCTGTGGGCAGTAATAACTCATTTGGAAATGTGGTGACCACTCACTTTCTGCGTTGTTCTCACTGGGAACTGCACGCCAGAGCTGTTCTTATTCAGCCATCTTGGATCCTCCTAAACAATCGTTTTTAATGGAGTTGAAAGGATTTAAATTAAGGTGTGTACGAAAAGCATAACACGTTGTCTATCACCCAGTATGTACTCAATAATCAGTTTCAGCTATTATTATTGTCATCAGAAAGAATGAAAAAAATCTCTAGTTTAGACCTCTAACCCGCTATGAGTAGATCTTTCTCTGAAAATTTCACCTTGCCTTGTTTCGTTTGTATCTGTAGAGTCACTGTTCTGATCAGAAAAACCATTATGCACAGCTAATTTTAGGTTCATGAGTTCTTAAGCACAGTAGGAAACTAATAAATCAATTAAACATATATTTCATAAGAGATTGCTATATTTATATGTGCATACATAAATATAATTTTAAGAATGAAAGGTAGCTTGTCATGAGTAGCTTATTTCATGAGATAAAAAGAAAGGCAAATAATAAACAATACTTCAAAATGCATTTCTATGTAACAGACTCTCATGAAATTCCACAAGCTCTTGTGGTTCTCTGTTACATTAAAAAAGAATAACGGATAACAAGACGGCTGGCTGCAACGTGGGGTATACTGTTGGAGCAAATTGTCCAGTGTTTTGAAAGGAAAGGAGAAGCCTTCTAGGAATTTCTCATCACAGAGAATTTACAAGGAAGGAATTTACCACGGTGTTTTCTGAATAGCCTTAGAATTTTATATTGGATTTAAAAATTGGGTTAGCGAGGGAGTGGTTCCTCAGAATGAAGCTTTTCCAAGCTCTCTCTTACTTTGTTTTTGCCTGGGGCATTATTTTTTGTTTGCCAAGACCAGCTGCTTCCTCGCTAGCCAGGTTTCCGTTTAGCGGCCCAGGGCTGCTTCTCTGATGTCGGGGAATTTGCCCCTCTGAGGTTGAGCCGGGCAGCTGTGTGTCCCCAGGCTGGGCGAGGGGGCTGAGCTGCCTGGAGGCCTGGATGGCTGCATTCTGCTGCTGCACTTTCACCGGTATCTCTTCGCAGATCTTCAACAAATGTGACCTCTGCCAACCTTATCTGAGCTCATCAGCTCTGCTGCCTCTGGGACCCAGGCGGGAGACAAAGGGGGCTGGTTCAGTGTTGGATGCCAGCTATTTTTTTCCACATGGTCTCTGGGAACAGTTACTAATCATATCAGACCCTAAAATGATTTAAGCCTTTCCTATCTACTAAGCACGTGAACTGTTGCTGACACAAACAAATCCCAAACTATCTCAACACGATAACACACACATTTTTAAATTTTAGTGTAAAACGTACCATTAATCAACCATCAACGAGCATTCATTCATTTTTTATGTGCTGTGCTCTGTGATGTGGGGGAGGCAGAGTAGAAACCTCAGACTTCTCTGAAAGAGTAGGTTGGATCATTGCGAATCCAACTGGTCCTCCACCCTTCCTGGATGGACCCCTTCATTACAGAAATGTTGTTAGGGGTTGAATTGTGTCCCCCGACATGTATTTGTTGAAATCCACACTTCTGCCTCCCCTGTGCCATAGAATGTGATTTTATTTAGGGTTGTTGCAGATGCAGTTAGTTCAGGTGGGTCAAACTATAGCAGGGTGGCCCCGAATCCAAAATGACTGGTGTCCTTATAAATGGCGGAAATTGAGAGACAGACATGCACACAGGGAGGGTTCCATGTGGACACGGAAGTTGTGCTGTCCTAAGCCAGGGAATTGTCAGTGCTGGAAGAGAGGCGAGAGCGGACCCTTCGCCGGTGTCTTCAGAGAGAGCAGGGCCCTACTGACACCTTGATTTTGGACTTCCGGTCTCCAAAACTGGGTGACAATACATCTGTGTCTTTTAAGCAACTATTAGTGTTACTTTGTTATGGCAGCTCTACCAAACTAATACAAACGTGAGGCAGGCGTCTACCCATTTTTGCTGGGGAAAACTGTCAGCTTGCCACTGACTTGGATGTGCAGTCTGGGCAGCCTCTTCTCTGTTCAGCTGACGCTCAGCCCAAATGTCACCGCTGAGACGAGCCTTCAGGACTGCCTTACCTAAGCGGGCCCTGCTCTCCCCATCCCAGCACCTTGCTTCACTTCCTGTCTGACTTGTCACTACTCCAGAAAACCTTGCTTATTTTTCTCGATTTTTAAAAACTGTCTATTTTTCACACCAGAGCTTATGCTCCAAGAGGCTCCTATCTGTTCTGCCCCGAGCTCGGCACATAATAGGTGCTCAAAAAATACTTGTTGCAAGAAGAAGTAAATGAAGAGGGAAAGCTTCATTTGGAAATATACATTTTTGTGTGTAGCCGGCACTGCGCTTCTGGGAACTGCTGATCCCACCCCCTCCCACCTCCCACTTCTTTCTTTTTCTCTCTTTTAGGGCTGGGAGCAAGTGACTGGGCTTGCTGCATGGACACAGACGACACAAGCCTGGGTTGCTCTTGCCCTGCTGGGGATGAGTGTGGTTTTGTTCGGTTCTGCACTTCAGTTGGTCTCAGAGCTGCAGAGGACTGTGGCTGGTCAGCTCTCAGTCGGCAGTGGGAGGAAACTAGATGTACCAGCCAGGCTAAGGACAAAGGCCTCAGGAGCCCCACATGGAAGAAGCCCGCGGAGGAAGGAGGTGGATACAGATCTGCCTCTCTGTGTTTACAGAGTCCCTGGAACTTTCAGCTTCGCACCCAGGCTTTGGAGTCCACTCTCAAGAGGAAGGGGCCACCGGGCCCCTGGGCGGTGTAGGCCCAAGAGTGAAGGCTGGGAGCAATGTGTGGGCGTATTTAAGCCAGCCAGTCCCTAGAAAGGGAGGAGGGGTGATTGTGGGAGACTCCAACTTCCTGCCTTTGAACCTTCAGACAAAACCTAAAAGGGACTCAAAAACACTATTTGGTCACGCAACGATAATGTGGCTGTGTTTGTGTTCACCAGCTAGTGAGATACAGAAGGGCTGGACTAAAATGACAGGCGGTGGGCGGAGGGGCCTTCTGAGGAAATTCTTCAGATAAATACTTCTGGGATAAGACTCTCGACCAGGCGTGAAAGTGGGAACGGAGAGGGAGAGGTTTGCATAATAGTTGACTATATGTTTGTGGCCGATTAAAGGCTTTTTTAAATTTGTATGTGATTTATGTCTTATCTACTTCCAAAAAGGATTGGAGGGGGATGACTAGTTGAAGGCGAAAGATGAGTTAAGAATGACTCCCAAGTTCTCAAGCCTGAGTGATGGAGAACAAGGGGGCGTCACTATCGCAGGCAGGAAGAAGGGCTGGGAGGAGAGAATGTTTGTGAGCAGACAATGATATGCTCGGTTTTGGATTTGTCACCCTTTAGGTGATGAAGAGACATTCAAATGGAAGCGTCTACTAGACCATTGCAAATATGTGACTCAAAGAATCCCTCTCTTTGATAAGCAGGGTGTCTGCAAAAACAAATCTATGTGATTAGTTCAGAAATAGGAACTCCTTCATTTATAGCTGTAGCGATTTTTTGCTTCTCACTGCTTTTAGTATCATGTCTTTGCTCCAGAGGAGTTGTAATTTTGAGTGTCGCATGTGTGAGCACACACATGGGCAAGCTCGTGCACACACACGCACACCTCCCGCCACATGCACACACAAAGCCTGTTTTCTGCAGTTGTATCCCTGGGTTTTGATACTAAATTGCTCAGAGTTTTGCTTTCCTGTGTCCTGGGAGAGCCCTTTGGTCTTCTGTGTTGTCTCCCTGCAGCCACTCACTTTGGCTCCCCGGCAGGCACTTCCGTGTATCCTTCTGTGATCTCTCCCTTGTTTGTGTCTGGAACAGCAGAAATGCGTTCCAGCAAGACTCACCCCTTTGCTGTGACAGATTGCTATGCTACAGAGCCCATTCAAGTAACTTTTCTTCTGCCTGCCTGCATTCCCAGAGAAGCTTTTAGTGTCCTCTTTGGAAAACCACATGAAACAATGTGAGCTATCCAGAGTAAGAGCTCAGCAAATGAGCACCAAGTTAGGACTTAGAAGCAAAATAAAGAGGTTATAGCCAGGAGAAGTTTCCAAGGTTGCTGATGTGTAAAAATGTCTAATTGGCAAGTGTCTTCTCCTTAAAGACTCAGAAGAAGGGGGTATTGATCTATTACTGCCCTCTAGAACAAATTCTTTCACAGAATCCAAGATGAAGTTTTATTTTTATTTTCTGTCTCTCTGTGTGTGTGTCAGAATTTAGAATATATTAACTTTCACTAGTACTGAAATACTTCACTAGTACTGAATAACTCTCTTTGCTTTAACTGGGTCCTCCCGAAAATATATTTTCCTTTTCTGTTTCTAACTCTTTATAAGCATAATTTAAAAATTATACAAGTAAAACATCCAAACAAATAGAAGGATATAGGATAAAGCCGTTTTCTTCTCCTGCTCTTGAATTCTATTCTTTTCTCCGGAGGTAGCATGTGAATAGTTTGATATGTAGCTTTCCATGCCTGTTTTCTATATATTTAATTAAATACATGCCTGCAATGCTCTGCCCAGCTAGTCACTTGCTGGTCACCCAGTTCATTTCCTCAGGGGGTTTCCTCCTGGCATGTATTACCATCAGTAGTAGGCAGAATAAAACTCCCTTCTTTACAAAGATATCTGTGTTTTAATCCCTGAAACCTGTGAATGAATATGTTCTCTTCTGCGACAAAGGGGACCAAATGTGATACAAGTGAAAGCATGAATCCAAACGAAGGGAGATAAAATCCTGGATTATCCTGATGAGTCCAATCTAATCACACAAGGCCTTAGAAGTGGTGAACCTTTCCTGGCTGAGTCAGAGAGAAGAAGGGCCAGAGATTCAGAGTATGAGAAGGACTTGATCTGCTACTGCTGGCTTTCAGGATGGAGGTGGGGACATGAGGCAAAGGATGCAGGTGGCCTCTAGAAACTGGGAATGGCCCTTGGCTGACAGTCAGCAATGCCACAGTCCTACAACCACAAGGAACCAAATTCTGCAACAGCTCGAAAGAGCAAGGAAACATATCTTTCCCTAGAGCCTTCAGGGAATGCTGCCCTTTCTGGGCAAAACTCAGATTGAATGTCTGTACCTGCAGAATTGGGAGATAAATTTGTGTTGTTTAAGCTGCTAAGTAGTGCAAAAATTTATTCTGACAATAATGCAAAACTACACACCATTTAAATTATTTTGGTATTTTATTGGTTTGCTTGTTTGTTTATTGTCAGCCTGCCCAATAGTATGTGAACTCCAGAAAAGAGAGACCTTGTCTATTTGGCCCACTACTTTACTTTATCTCTACTGGCTAGAACAGTTCCTAGCATGTAGGAGGCGCTAATTTTGTTGTGGTTGAGTGAAGAAATGAATAGGTAATGTGTACGTGTTTGTATATGAAATCAGGTTACATGTATTATCTTATGACTTTTTACACTTAATGATGTATCTTAGATGTCTTTCTGTTTAGTTCCTATAGATATAGCTCACTCTTTTTAACTGCTATACTACATACAATTTATGATTGGATATATATCATTTTTGTTAACCATCCTCTTATAGATGGACATATAAGCTGTTTTCAGTTTTTTACTTTGCACATCTCTGGGCATATGTCCAAATATTTCTATGAGATAGAAATGAAGTTTCTGGGTCAAAGCATATTTTTTTTAAGTTTGATGGATATTGTTAAATTGCCCTCTAAAAATTCTTTACCAAGGGACATCCCCAATAACCAATTATGAGAGAAAATGTTTCCCAGCACCCTTGGTAACGTTAGTCTTATAAATCCACTTAAAAAACAACGACTTGTAGGTAAAAATACCTTATTGTGTTTTAGTGTTTGCATTTCCCTGATAGTTACTAATGTTGATCTGCTTTTCTTAAATTCTTTTTCATTGAATTGGTCTCTTGTATCAGAACTTAAAAATCAATCCTGACTATAGCATTTACTAACTGTATAACTCTGGGCAAGTTTCTAAATTTCTCTTTGTCTCAGTTTTCTTGTCTGTAAAATGGAGATGATAATAGCATCTGATCAAAAGAATTACTATGCAAATTAGTAGAGTTAGTAGATAAAAAGTGCTTAAGATACTGCCTGGCAAATAGGATCCTATTAATCAATATCAATTATATCTTTGTTCATTTTTTGTCTCTTGGGTTGCTTTATTATTGATTTATAAAAACTCTTTATATATTATAAAAATTCATCTATTGTCTGAAATACATTTATTGCAAATTTTTTTTTTTTTTTTTTTTTTTTTTTTTTTTTTTTTTTTTTTTTTTGAGATGGAGTTTTGCTATTGTTACCCAGGCTGGAGTGCAATGGCGCAATCTCGGCTCACCGCAACCTCCGCCTCCTGGGTTCAGGCAATTCTCCTGCCTCAGCCTCCTGAGTAGCTGGGATTACAGGCACGCACCACCACGCCCAGCTAATTTTTTTTTTTTTTTTTGTATTTTTAGTAGAGACGGGGTTTCACCATGTTGACCAAGTTGGTCTCGATCTCTTGACCTCGTGATCCAACCGCCTCGGCCTCCCAAAGTGCTGGGGTTACAGGCGTGAGCCACCGTGCCCAGCCGCAAAGATGGACAGATTGGAAATAATTTTAAAATTCTTTAAGATGAAATACAGAACCACAGCTAAAAGGCAAGCAACGCAAATATATTTTTTAAGTTGCTTGCCTTTTAGCTGTGGTTCTGTATTTCATCTTAAAGAATTTTAAAATTATTTCCAATCTGTCCATCTTTTTCTTTATATAGACTATATATAGTCACAAAATTATAAAAGAATTCTCCCATATTTTTCCTCTACTATATTTCTATATTTTTTGTGTGTTTAGTTCTTGAATTGCCTTGAGATTTATTTTTGTATATGGAGCGATAGAGGAATCAAGTTTTCTTCCAAAGTAAAGAAATAATTTCCCCAGTGTCACTTATTGCATATATTTCTCCACTGATTTAAAATACTTGATTGACTGTATGTATTAAATTCACATACATATGAGATATTTTGTATTTATTCCTATTTATTTATTTTTTTTTAATCAGGAGCATATGCCTTCCCAAATACCACACCATTTTAATTAGTATAATTACGTAGCATATCTAATACGTGGTAGCACAAGTTTGCATTGCTATTTTTTCTCTAAATTTTCTTGGATATTAAAAAACCCTTTCTCTTTTATATAAACTTTATCGTCAGTGTGTTAAGTTTATTCTGGTTGTTTTTAATGTATAGGTTAATTTGGGGAGAAGTTTTACATATAAAATATTGAACCTTTTAGCATATTATGATCTAAACTTAGCATTTTTCTGTTATCATGATAAGGGCCTTTGTTCATTCCATTTCTAAGGGGACATTGTTGATAAATGAAGATGCTAGTGGTTTATGTGTATTGATCTTGTATCTGGCAATCTTATTTATCTCTTACATTAATCAAAACAGTTTTCCAGTTGAGTCTTTTAGATTTCTGGGTAG